TCCACCGACCACCTTTGAAACAATATAACCAGTACTGTACATTCTTGTTTTTTTGTTTAAACAAAGATACAATAAATACCTGACTTATTATTTTTGTAATATGTTAATCTCTCTGAATTGGTTTTAATATATTTTATTTTAAAAAAATCCAAGAAATGTTTATTGTCTGTTTTTGTAAATCAAGACAGCAAATATTAATGAGCTAAAAAGGAAGAAGAAAAAACAAAGGTTTCCTCTGAATTTTTAACCCACTCATTAAAATAATCTAAAATGGATACAATATACGTAAATATATAAAAAAAAAACTCTCAATTGATAATCCACCGACCACCTTTGAAACAATATAACCAGTACTGTACATTCTTGTTTTTTTGTTTAAACAAAGATACAATAAATACCTGACTTATTATTTTTTTAATTTGTCACTTTGTGACAAGTTTTTGCAGATTAGAACAATATCTAATCGATATGGCACTGGTTTTATGCAATATGAAAGCGTAAAGCTGAATGAATAAACTGTATGAAAAATTATTTAAAAAGCTGAAAGGTAAGTTTGACAGAAATCATGCATTTAAATTTCATGAAATAACACGTTTTTTTATGCCTGATTCAATATGAGCTAATTGTGTGTGGCTGAGTTAGGCACAATCCAGCACTGCCACAGGCAAAAAAAAAAGTTACTGAGGCTGAATAAAACTGCAACAGGCACCAGCTGTTAAATCTCAGATAGAAGTGAGGTAATAAAACAGAAACAGAAATAAATGTGTTTGACTTTTTCAGTTCCTGCTTGAGCTAAACACAGATCATAAATAATATTTACATATTAGGAAGAAATCATTTTTACTTACAAGTTAAAACAACCCTATATATATTAAAAAAAAACTTTAATTATTGTCCACATATTAGCCCACATATTATACAGACTCTCCTGGTTCTCACATAGAACAACATTTTTAATTCTGCAGTGAAGTTCAAAATGTAAAAAGTTTTAGAAAACAACATTTAAAAAATGCATACTTTCATTTGAGTTGTGTGTACAGAAAAAAAAAAACATGGAAAGGTTTTATTTAAAATTGGCGTAGTCTGAGAAAATGTCAATAAAGTCCTGGACCACTCTGTAGCAGAAGTCGTATTGCTCCTGGAAGGAAAAGCAAAAAAAAAAAGGGAAGCATTACCACAAACACAAGTCGGAACTATTCCAAACAACACAACTATGAACAAGATGACATTTTTCCTCCCTTTTTTTCCTTTGCACTTACCACAGTTTGAACCATGTGTGGTCTCTGCATACGTAAACTTTTGACAGTCTGAAAAACATCCAGGAGGCCTTCAGCTTTCACTCTTTCCAGAATGTTGCTGAGCGCAATAAAGGTCCCGGTCCTTCCCGCACCAGCGCTAAGGACAAAAACCAACAGAATTATTAGCAACATGACACAACATACACCAAAAGTGCTTTCAAAACTGAGATCTGCCACCAAACTGCAAAAGGTGTCTWAAAAAATTCACTTTTTATTTCCTTCACGACAGATTTGTAACTCATCTGTTCGAGCACATTTGTTTTCATTTAGCCTAAAAAGTTAGCGAGAGTAAAGGTGACCTTTGTGTAATGGCTCTTGTAATTATCCTCACTTAAAGAGGAGCTAATCCAAACGCTAACACTAATCAGTTTGGAAGCTCAGTGTTTGACTGAGTCAATGTTTACAATGACGGTGGGATGAAGAGGAAGAGCACGAGTAAAAGAGGGGGAGAGGGAGAGAGAGGGAGAGAGAGATGTGCGAATCGAAAGAGAAAGTGTAGAGAGACGTTAGGGATTGCATTGGGTTAGCCCCATTCCCCTGAGATGGGGGAAAAAAGCTTTAAAAAGCCCTCCTAGACAAGTGGTGATGAAGGAATAGAAGCAAGTGATGACACCATTTCCTGTCGTTAGCTCATCTTATCAGATTAATCATAGTGGGAGTCAGAGGAGATTTCACTTTGAGAGGTTTTAATTGACTGTGAATCAGTGGATTGGATCAATCCCATCGGGGCGTGCTGCTTTAGAATCACTTCACCTGAAGCTAGGTTCTGATCAAAGCTTTCATGGCTAAGTCTTTATAAGGGATCACATAAGTGGTTTATGGGTTGAATGCTGGGTCTACTGAGGAAATGGACACATTATTGTAGCAGGCATTTGTAGGAACAAAAAATATATCTAAACAATTTGAAATACAGATATTAAAAAAAGGCAGAAAAAAAAAAAAACAATGACCGAAGGCCCTCACCTGCAGTGTACCACAATGGGACGGTTTCCAGACTGCTGCTGCTGCCTCTGGACGGCAGCAATGATGTCAATCATCCCCCGTCCTTCTCCTGGTATCCCGATCTCAGGCCACCCATGGAAGTGGAAGTGGCGAACGTGCTGTGACTGCTTTTCCTGATGATGGAAATCACGGTGTTAATTCCTATCCCCTTAAAGCATTCAACATGATGGACAATTATGAACTTTTAACCAGACCACGTGTGAGACAACTTGCTGAAAAGTCAGGTAGTATGTTCTAAATGGATTCAGTTATAATCAAATTATATACTTTATTTGACTAATTTCTAAAACCATACATACACAAATAAATAAATAAATAAATAAATAAATAAATAAATAAATAAATAAATGGACTAATATGTCACATTACCACATGTTTGTAGGTGAGAAGCAGATCTCTGCGAGTGAAGGTTTCACACTGTGTTTCTCCAGTCAGCTCCAAAGTGTAATCTCCAAATGTTACACTGCCCTCTGATGGCCAATATTGGAAACATTTTTCCTGGTTGRAAAGTCGACAGGGGAATCAACTTCGAGACGTTTTCAAGCCGCTTTTGACATTTTACTTCAAGCATAAAAAATAAAACAACAAAGACCTAAGAAATGCATGCASAAATTGTCCAAAATAATAAGACAGTAAAACCGAATAATAATACTAAAAAGCGATTATTTAATTGTGCAAAAGCGTATCTCGGTTTCTCATACCTGCTCCCTCTCTTTGAGCTGTGTGAGCATAACGATTGAATGACACCTCCACTCCCACATCATCCTCCAGAAGTCCTCCACTGTGTGAGACAGGGGGCCCTGGGYTGCGATAAAATAGTCCTTCTGCCGGTAGCCCTGGAGGGCAGATCATCCAGTAAACAACACTTGAGAGTGCAGCAAACATCATATTTTGCATTGTTTGTAAAGGAAACAATGAGCTTTATTTATACTTCTATGGGAAATCCATACAAGAGGTCGAGGGGGAGAGCTTACATCAATAAAGGAGGCATTGATGTAGTCTGTAAATTCCAGTCCTCTTTTCACTGAGAGTATTACTCGGTTGAAATCATCTGCAAAGGAAAAATCAACTTTTACAAGTGATCTTGGATCAAATTAAACAGATGAAYGAGCTGATGAAAACAAAATAGATCACAATGACTTGAACTGATCAGACATACATCTACTGTATGTACAGCATCTTTAAAACTCACCAGTACTGTGGTATTTTGATGTTACTTGTTTTATAAAAACTGTTCAGAGCAGAAGGGTTGTTCTTACATGGGATGATCTGAAGCACACGATTCTTCCTCATGTTGGCTGGAAGGTTCCCRGTCCTCATGTTCTCCTTCATTATTCGAACATTGGTCAGCTTCTGATGGGAGAAAAATAGCGGCAGGATTTAAAAAAAAAGGTTTGTTTTATTCTGTAAATGCTAAACGGGCTAAGTTTGAACCTGCTAGGACCTGCCATCTATGTAGACAAATATGCATGTCATGCAAGAGTTCAGGTCACTCAAGTCCTGAACCATCACCCCATCAAAAGTATTATTATTTTTATTTGATAAAAAATAGATTTTATGTCTATGGTAAACTTTAAATTTACGATTTGTTGCAACAAAATAAACAAATTTAAAAGGTAAAACATAATAATACTTGTCCTGCCCCTGAGCTGTTGGCTTTGAGTAACTGTTGTCCCCTGAGMAATTTAGCTGAACAGTATTAATGTCTCAAAATAAACTGTTTTAAACCCAGCATTGACCATAAACTACATCTCCCATAATTCATGTCAATAATGCACGAGAATTCCCTGTCAGAAAATGGGAGAGTTCAAAATTCAAGATGGCCGCTACTCACCAAAACTCAACAATGAGTAAAACTCTTACTTTTACTTTTAGTAGTATTTTAATAGTATTTCTGTATTATTTATTTCACACCTTTTAGTGTAAGAAGACATGGTGTAAAATTTGTTCCTATGCAGGAAATACCATGTAGAACTCAGTTATTGTTTGTTTGTGCTGTAACAATTAGACAAGGAATGTGACGTTTCATGTTTAATCAAAGTTAAACACAAAACGTCAAAATGTATTACAAGTGGCCCTTTGAGGGCCACCATAACGCTCATGCGGCCCCTGGTGAAAATGATTTTGACATCCCTGCTGTAAATGCTAAACACGAGGAGTAGCAAAAACGGACAAGGCTTTAGTAGTATTAGCAATCTAAAACTAAAGGACTAGACAGTCTTTTCCCTGTACTGAGAAAATAAAAACAAAAAGATAAAAGACACTGGAGAGTGATCCCAATCAATGTGTGGAGGGCTGTGCAGCAAAAAAAAGAGAGAAATTTTCTCAAAGCTAAAACAAAATTCTAAGTGGCAGATGGTGGTGTCTTATAAAGTTTCACCTGATCCAAATCATTGTTATTTATGTTACCACAGCCAACAGCAGCACCCTGGGCAATATTTCCATGATAATATAACGGTGCAAGGCATGAAGTGATGGGGACGATTCACTCTTGACTGAATTGTTTAAGAYGGCACTTCTTCCTTCGTACCCTGAATTCCTCCTCCAGGCCCAGCCTGTCGTGTGGGGCCCTGGTGTTGTGAAGCCTTTGCAGATGGCCCTCCAGAGAGCACACATCCAGCTCCGTGTCTCCATACAGATAGTACTCTAACAGAGCCTGGTAGATAAAGGAGTACTGCATCTGAGGCAGAAAAGAGAGGGAGCCATAACCATTGTGAATTTTGTTTGCAAAACTATTTTCCTCTGTTTCATTTTTATTTTATTGTGCTGCACACACAGAGTTGTTTTCCAAGTCTTCGCTCGTTTGTGCTGCGACCGGAGCAGCGAGTTGCGCTGTCAGTTCAAGGTACAACAGGTCGGACGGGGTCGAGACTTACATCTGTCTGGATAAGTTGACAGCGCTGTTCTCGTATTCTGCTCACAAAGCCAAAGACATCCACTCGCTGCTCCATGTGCATCATGTCGATCATGCTGTCAATGACAATGAACGTCCCGGTCCTTCCAACTCCGGCACTGAGGAAACACAAACAAGAGAAAGGTCTCCTCTGGAACATTTGCAAAACACAACACGTCCAATAGGAAAGAAATGTTTCGAGTTCATCAGTAACTGCCAAGGCAGCAATAACGATGTACAACAGCTTCATTCTAATTCACACTTTAAAAAAATTAAACATATTAAAATGTCATAATTTTATCGTGTTCTTGTTATACTAGTTGGGGTTTTTATAACAAAGGAGTCAATTGTAAACGACAACAAGCATATGTGAAAGCGCTTCACCTCTGATGCCCCAACACCCCCCTAATAGATTTACTAGGGTCATTTCAGCAAACTGCACCACTGGGAGCACAAAGGCTGGATTCCATGGGGTGGGGAGGTTGGACTTCTGCAGCGGGCCCYGTTCAAAAACACTTCTTCTCCCTGAACACCTGTTGTAGCAGTTGCTACAGTCAGCTGCAGATTTCTTTATACTGATTAGTCAAACAAGCACAGTTTGAGGGTGTTTAGCTTTAGACGTTAAGCTTCAATTAAGATGTTTTGCACCAACATTAAGCATTTCAAGAGTGTTTGTTCTTTATATATATATATATATATATATATATACAGTATATATATATTTTAGGACTGCTGTTCCTTTGTTCACTTCTTCCCACCGGGCATTTTACCTGCAGTGCACAACAATGGGTCCAGCATATGACGGATTGACAGCCATGACCTTCTTGAGAAATTTCAGCATGCCAATGGGTGTGAACGGCACCCCGAAGTCTGGCCAGCTGGTGAAGTGGAGCTGGGTGACCAGCCGAGGAGCTCGGAGCCCGTCGCTGCCCTGCTGTGAAGCACAAACATACGAGGTTAATACCTGAACAGAACTACGGAGGAACAAATCACTACGACTGGTAGCAGTTTAAAAAAATACTCTATATATTTTTTATCATTGTTTTTTATTTTTTATTTTTTTGGAGCAGAATATAATTATCAAACACTGGTTTGCCTTGCTCTCCGGAGACCATCATTTCACTCTCTTGAACACTTGGTTGCTCTGTTTTCAGAGAGCTAAACGTAAAAACATCCAGTCTGTCAGATTTTTGCAGGGGAGCTACTGTGCAGTCATGTTTATCTTTTTTTTTTTTTTGACTCAGAGACTCAGAGAGGATTTCTGTGCTTGTCTAACTTCAGATGGTTAGGGAACAAAGTGAATTTTGAAATCTGAAAGCTTTGCAGTACACTGAGCTGACACCCAACTTGGCAATCAAACAAGGGAAAGAAAGAGACACTCTTTATGTGCATAAATTTCTCAGGATCAAATAGAGATAAAGTCTGAACATTACCAAGTTGTATATTGCAAGTTAAAATACACCTGAATATTGATTATATGTGCTGTGTCTATTTTTTTTATTTCTTTTTAAATCCTTAATTTTTTTATGTCTTTCCAGAATGGTTTTCACTTGTTAGTCTGAATTTCTACAAATTCTCATTCTCTGAAAGCTTTACATTTTCCCAAAAGCAAACGTTTTCACAACCGCTTCATTGTGTAAACCAAGAGTTTGAGGGAGAAAAATAACAATTACTTAAACCCTTAACAAAGTTAAACTGTTTACTTTTTTATTATTTACTTTTTTCTAACTTCTTTATGTGAAGTAGCAAAATATGTGCACTTTAAACAATGATTCCCAACGAGCTGAAAACACATCCATAATTCACACTTTAAAGGAGACATTATATACTTTTAAACCCTTCTAGTTCACATTTAAATAGTGAGGGTCGATATAAACTGGAACTGCAATGCTTTGGTCTGAATTGCTCCTTATTGTAACTCCACAAGCCCCTCTTTCACCCCTGGTCTCAGATCAACTCGTTTAGATGCTATCTTTTTAAATCCAAACGAGCTGCTTCAACCATCATAGAAAATAGAAAAGCCTTGAAAAATAACCCAAACAGAATATAAACATATCTACCCAGCAACGGGAGAGACTAAAATAAATTTTTTTGCACTCCTAGAAAATGTTTTTAATGGTTAGAAAAGTGGAATTTGCATGATGTCCCTTTTAACACTTTGTTCAGTTCTACTTACATATTGAACACAGAATTTTCTAATGGTGTAGTCCACCAGCACGGTGATGTCCTCCACTGCCACTCGGACGTTTCCGTACATCCAGCAGCCTTTTTCTGGCCAGTATTGGCAGCATTTCTCCTGGTGAGGTGATCACAACAATGAGGAGGTTGTTTATTTTGTCACTACAATCGCTGTCACTGAGGTCATATAAATGCATATATTCTTTGTATGTATAGAGACAATTTGGTATTTTTTTTGTGTGTGTGTGTGTATTTCACAATCCAATTTAAAGACAATCACCAAGATTTGTGCCACTCTGACAGTCAATAAGGTCTTCACAACCTATTAACTAGATTCTCTAATTATCATGAARCCTCTTAGGATCTTATCAACAATTATTCCATCATTGATCCCCACTGCCTCCATTCTGCCCCATCAAACTTGCTTTTGAGCACTCAATTATCCCTCTGAGGCTGACTTTATTGCAATGCTAAGTAATCTGCTGWATTTTTTTTCTTTTTTCAGTTAGCAGAGAGGTCAAATAAATTATGCTCCTGACTTTGGGTCATGAGAACACAAAATAAGGTTGCACTGGAGCCATATAGATGTGTAGCCTTTCGTATCAAGAGTGCTGAGAAATGGGAACATACCTCTTTCCTTTCTTTTAGATTTGTCAGCATGACTATAGTTGCCGTTTTCTGTTCCCAAATCATTCGCCAGAAGTCAGCCAGTGTTTCCAGTTTTGGGCCTTAAACAGAGTAAAGAAAAGTAGGTAAAAATATATCAAATAAATTGCCAAAACCTCAACCACTTGCTTGGAATATGTGTACCTTGTGCTGCAATGAATTTGTTTTTCTCCTTATAGCCCTGTGTGGAAAAAACAAACAAACAAATAAATAAAAAATAGACCAATTTTGCCAACACATTCATCACCGTTAATGAGACTTTATTCAGATATTTGACCCCACAATATAAAAATGTCAATAGCTAGTTTAGATGATAGTTACCAAAAACCTAAAGGTGTTATCTCACTAGTTTGTGGCTATTAGAGACATGTTTGCTGCTAAAACATTAGTTAATCTTTGAAAGAAAAAAACCACTCAAATCTGCCTTTTCAGCTCAGGACTGACCCATGGCACAGGCAGTGTAGGCAGATGCTGAGGGTGCCGTCCACCTGGGGGCACCACAAATAGGGACGAAAAATGTATTATAATAACTTTTTTAATTGGAATATAGTTGATTTAGTCTGTAAGATAACCACTGGCTATTCAGGTTTATGAAGGTAACTATTTCTGTGGGTTTCTCAGCCTGCTTTGTTCCTACAGGAGGTGCTAACCACTGAGCCGTTGTGCTGCCTTCAAGATGGCAAAATACAACTCTTGCTCTCTTGAAACAGGTTGAAGGTGCCTACCTGTGCCTGCAATAGAAATACCTGTCACGACTTTGTGATTAATTTAAGAGAAAGTTTATTGCACAAATCGTTTGAATATTTATTAAATTCAAGCAACCAAACTCAATCAAGGACCTCAGCGAGCACTGCAAACCATTCATCAACTATTCACCAATGTTGCAATATTCGATTATAATATTGCAATTGCTTTTTCATATAGCACAACCTTACGTTTTTTGTTATCAATACTCACATCTATATAAGATGCATTTATGTAGTCTGAGCATAGATGTCCATCAAGATGACTCAGAACCACCCTTGAATGATCGTCTGAAACAAAAAAAGAGGGGGRAAAAGTCCTTATTTTTTATTTACAGTTGTATTGTCTTTTCTCAAGATTTAGGTATCAATAAACCTTCAGCAGAACATATAGTAAATCTTCACTCACATGGTAAAATGTTTGGGTATCTGTTTTTCTCTCTGTTGTGCTCTCTGCTCGCCTCCTCAAAGGACCCATGGCGGTAGTAACATGGCAGTGACTACAAAGAGAGAATCCAATACTCGTGAGAAAGAAAGAAATAAAGCCACAGGTACAAAGTCTTCTAAGAAAACATTTTATTGCTGTTTCTCTTTTTTTTTTCCCTGAACTTGTAAGCTTGCAGGACAAACATCTTCATCCACACCAACTATACTTGTGCCTACATTGAACTCCTCTCTGAAGAGCTTGCCGTCGTCAGCCGAGCGAATCCGGTACTCCTCCTCCAGCGAGTCCAGAGGGATCGGGAAGTACCTCTTGGAGGGCGAGGGAGATCTCGGGAGGAGGACCACTGTCTGCTCTCCTGTGTTTAAAGGGATATATGGTGGTCAGACAGCAAACGTCTCCCAACAGAGAACATTACAAGCTCTCACAGCACCTGCAAAAACAAGCTTGATGACTATTAAGATTTCCTACCTCTGTGACTACATGTCAGAAATGACTTCTTGAGTCATAAAATTGCCGCACAAAACTATCCTAGCTCAGAATTTGGCATTTCCGTTCATTTATTTTTACACTTGAAGAGAGACTTTATGTGGCTCCCTACGTGCTATGGAATCTAAGAGACTCCTCCAAACTTTCCACCTTTCATGAGTTTTTTCTTGTTCATAAAGAGTATACATTTATAAGTCAAATAAAAAAAATGAATAAAAAGAAAAAGGCAACATCACATTTTCATGCTCTGGTGGGTATTTTGAGTGCAACACAAGAGTACCTTGTTCCTCCAAGAAGCCATTTGGAATCTTTTTATCCACCGACGTAATAAGAGCTTTCTTGTGGTTTTTGAACCTGCAATGATCACAACGTAGGTCAACATAAATCAAATCATTCTGATCCTCAATGCAGAATTATTAAACACTTGAGATAAATCACAAACAAATTTGGAGACAGATATTAACCATCCCAGAGAGGTGAAGCTGTTCCTTCTCATGACAAGCGTTCGGGAGCTGCTGGCGTGTTCTGACCCAACTGTTTTTGTTTGCTGTCTTACTCAGAGTGCAGCTGTTTACCCACCGCCTGTTTCTGAACCACCACCCCCCCCCCACACACACCCTGAAACATGCCCCTTCATTCTAATCTAAAGAGAGAGCAATAGTCATAAAGAGTAAGTGTGCATGTTCAGAYTGATTTACCTCAGACAGTAAATTGTTAGCAGGACAACAATGATCAGTAGAAGGGATAAAACCAGCGTTGAGGGGAGCACATGACCCTGGTGGGTGTTGGGTTCTGCATTAAAACACAGAGAATCACATGCAGAACATCAAAAAATGTTAAAAATAGATTATTTGGGAGAGTTTAAAAAACATGTATTTCATGGTATATATCAAAGCAAGCTGTATGGCAGCATAGTAACTCTAAATTAATATGTTTAATATGAAATTATTCTTAYTAAGAAATTTAGCCCAAAATTACTCTTGACTGCAAWAATGCTAGGAATATGTTAYGYGACTTATATTTTACTTCAGTATGCACCATGTGCTTATGGTGTTGTGAATACTGTTGATTTTTGCTATGAACTTATTTTTGTATATACATTTATATGAATGCCATATCTAGATATTATTAATACACTACTAATACAATATAAATTGAAGATATTACACTTTGTGTAAGACAGGATATAGATAAGGGAATGGATTAAATAAGTTTATACTTCTTCCTACTCCTTTCTGAACAGATACAWTTCTGCATATTCTTTATTTTGTGGGCAATATTTTTTGTTGTATTGTTTTCATGTTTAGTTTCTACTTTTGTCCCTGAATGTGTGTATTAGCTTTTTTAAAATGTAGTGATTTGTGTGTGTGTGTGTGTGTGTGTGTGTGTGTGTGTGTGTGTGTTGTTTTCTACCTTTAAAAATGACATAAATGTGTTAAATTAATACAGCAATATTCCTAAAAAGACAGTAATGATACTGTAAATGCAGTATCAACATTGTAAACTATCGCTGAAATTACAATATAAATACTTTTACAGTAACTTACTAGCATCCATCAGCCAGTAAGTTACTGTAGATTTTATTGCAACATGTTTATAGTGCATATTTTAAAATGTATCCTTTTTTTTTTTTTACAAATGTTTACTATCTGTTTTAATGCCAACATCATACATTATCAAAAAAAAATGAAATGCATGTTTTTCAATTGCAGCTTAAATTTATAGATTTAATCGACAGGCATTAGCAAGGACAAATAAACTAAGGGTGTGGAGGGTGCTGCAGCACCATCTAGAGGATGCAGGAAGACATGCATGTCCAAATACATATTTACGGTAGTTAATTAAATTGGCTTTATAAACTAGAACTGTTGTTGTATCTTGAAGTGCAAATTACAAAGTGGGCAACTTCATTTGGTCTGGATGGCACTTTTCTAAGTAGTGGCTGTCTAAAACAAATTTAAAGTGTGTTGTATCTTTTATGGTTCCTATTTAATAAAGACAACATTTGCTCTCAGTGAGCATTTCACTGCTTACAGTATATGTGGCAATAAGAATGCAAACTCTCTTATATATTAATGAGGATCTATGCAATTTATGCAAAATCTTTATAGGATTGACAAGTTTTTTTTTTTTTTTTCAAAAAGACCGAGTTTAACAAGAAATATCAAAACTAGATTAGGCATCTTTACAATGACATCCAGTTTACACAATGCAAAATTATATATATATATATATGTG